CAAACGTCGGGATTCTCAGCCCCTTCTGGCCCTCTCATTTGCCACACCTCCGTCGAGGAAGATACGAAGTTTTTTCAAAGAAAAAAGTACTGCCACTCTGGCAGCTGCAACTTTTGTGGCATTTTAGGGAGCCCTGCTGGTTGGACAGCATTGACAAGCGGTCGGGTGGGAGCGGGGATAGATCTGACCCCGAAGGTTTTTCCATAATGGTCTCCGAACAACGCGGCGTAGCCGCATCAAGTTTTATGTAGCTATATACAATTAAATAGCGGCACGTTTCTATTCGAACAAAATAGATGTAGATTGTGCGGTCACTACCCTACGACAGGTCAAAGTCGGGCCATGGGTTCAGCAAGGACAATTTCTAGGAAATCGCTCGATCTGATGCAACAACGGAGTGTTAAACGAGGGCATACAGCTCTGAGATAGCTCCTTAGGCAAGACAGCAACTGCATGAACAAATTTCATTGACCAAGGGTCAGCTATGAAAGTCATACCAAGCTCAAAACTAACCCGATTTTTTACGTAGAGCTTGTTGTATGGGATAGTTTCTGGTGCTCATTTTGAGTTTGTTGATAACAAGCACCGCATTCTACTTTTGCAATGGGCTTCTAAAGGCCAGCATAGGTCACTGTCATGAATTCATCCCGGTCAAAATTTTGCCTTCAGGAACACACCGCATAGTGCAAATTCTTAACGCTTATTCAACTACAAAACTTAAAGCAGTCTTGAATAATTTTGGTTGCCATGACCTGCGAAGGTTCAAGCAAGGTCGCTGACCCTAAATGAGCTCCAGTGATCTTTTGCTTAGAACAGGTAAAGGCATCACTTAGACACCCCAAATTTTGACGCAGGTGAGTTCGCGTGCAGGCCAACACACTCCCTGAATTTGGTGTCTTCAGCTCTCTTAGTTTTTGAGCTCTCCGGAGTGAGTCAAATTGCCCCCCTCCCCCACTCGAGAGAATGGTATTCAACCGGCCACTCGGGCGCGTCCTAACTGTTTTACTACAAATATGTGGATTATTCAGGTGGTAGTTTCAGTTGTCAGGAATTCACTTCTAAGTTGTAGACAATGGTTTTCAATTTATTGTAAAGCTGTATTGGTTATAATGGTGGTATTAGGACATGCTGTTTGACTTGCCTGTGGTGTGTGACTTTCATTGCAATGTGAAAGTTAATTGTTAGCAATTGTTAGTTACCTGATTTGCGTGTGGTAGATTCAGCTGTCAGGCATTCACTGCTAAGCTGCAGGCAATAATCTTCAACTAGCAGTTAAGATTTGTTCGTTCCAGTGGTGGTTTCAGGGTATGCTGATTGTTTTAGTTGCCTGTGGTGGGTGACTTTTCCGTGGTGTGAGAGCAGATTTGGGGGTTATCCTGTATAGTAGTTTCAACTATCAGGCGTTTACATGTAACCTGCAGGCAAATGGTCTATAGCTAGCAGCTGGGCTTTGTTAATTGCATTGGTGGTATCATAACATGCATTTTGTTCAGGTTGCCTGTGATGTATTTTATCTAATACACGTGAAAGCAAAACTATTTTGGTTTTCCTGTGCGACTCACATGGCTTTGTGACTGGGAAACTTGAGTCAGGTTCCTGTATTTATTTTTTAAAAATCAGTGACAACTAGCTTGCAAGGTCTAGTGTTTTCGAAAGTACCAATGGGAACTAGGAACCATTAACCAGACCCACGGTCTGCTGAAGAACCAGAGGGTACCAGGGTCCAGTGCTTGGAATTTGTGAAGGGGCCAGTGGGAACCAGGGTCCATGGTTTTGATTTTCCGATAGAACCAGTGAGGACGAAGATCCAGGAATTTGGTTTGTTGAAAGATCCAGCAGAACACAGCACAGAGGGTTTATTTTGTGACAGGAGCCAACGCGAACCAGGATCCAGGGTTCTGTTTTGTCCAGGAAAGCATTGGGAACGAAAAGAGTCGCGTGTCTGTGTATGTCATTATACAGACAAGCAAACATCATCCACCATACAATTGTTGCTATTTTTCTCGTTGTAGCTTTAAGCGACGATTTCGAAAATGAAGTCCATCTGCTTGTTCCACGCCTAGTTCAGACGATTCGTTTGGATGCATGGACGCATGTTGATGAGTCTGTCCTCATTGACATTCAGGGTTACCAGCGGTCCCCAGTAAAACACTGCACGAATTATATTAGCCCCCGGATTACAGATCCACAAATTGTCACATCTGTGCCACAAGTGTATCGGCATATTTGCACTTTTTGAGAGACATCAATAACTGACACGGTCGCTTTAACACGAGGTATAACACGTAACAGCCACCTTTCAAACCCCTAAAAGATCTCCGCTGATTCGCTAATAGTTCCACGCTTCGTCACCGCCATGACCCTCTGACAGGCAGTCGGCGACGCTTTTGAATTTTGATGAGCTATGGGGGCCCACAGCCACTTACCGGCAAGACTTGCAGGGTGACATTTCAGCATTGAAGTTGCGACACGGAAATTGGCGCCGAACTTCCCGGTGAGGACTAAATCAAGGCTGCTTCCTGCCCGCGTCACCTGAGTTTGCGGCGTCGCTCCGGTAGATAAAGCGCCGCCACATGTTCGGCGAAATCACATGGCAAGTGTGATATGGCGGCTTCCTGACTTATTTAAGTTGTTCAGTGCATTCGTGAGGAACGTTATTCACACAGATAAGGCATTAGTAGCAGCCTTATTGCTCGGAGACAAACCAGGATAATGAAGAAGTAGATTGGTTGATATTTCAGCAACATGCCTTTATCGAAACAAAAGCAGAAGACACATGTAGGTATCGAAACAATAGCAGGCGGTAATAATAGCTCCTCTGCTACTGTTTCGATAAAGGCGTGTTGCCGAAATATCAACCAATCTATTTCTGCATTTTGCTGGTTTTTTTTTCTCCGAGGAATAAGGCCATTACTACCGTAATATCATGACTTATTTGGTTGAAGCGCTTGCCTATGAAGCAGGGAGTTCAAGTTTTCAAACATGCGTCGTCGTCCTTTATAGCATTCCACGTCTCCGCCTCCGGGGCGGGATAGCGGAGGCCTGTAGGCGGAGGCAGCGACACTGCCAGAGACACCGTCCGAGAGAAGCAGCAGGCCTGGGCAGCCGTCTCTGCACCATCGCCGCTGTAACCGCTGCCATACTTAAGCGGGGTTAACGGCCCCGGCGCAGCGGGCGGAAGGGGAGGGGGCGACTGAATCCCGGTCCTACGCCCCTGCTCGCCGGCTGTATTGAGGGGAGGCTGTCTCCCGGTCCTGCGTCCCTGCTCGCCGGCTGTATTTGGGTGGTGTGGGGGGGGGGGGGGGGGGGGGGGAGCGAACGCCTACCAGTTGCCTCCTGGTCCTACGTCCCTGCTCGCCGGCTGTATTTGGGGGGGGGGGACGGCTACCTCCTGGTCCTTCGCCCCTGCTCGCCGGCTGCCTCCTGGTCCCACGCCCCTGTCCGCCGGCTATATTTGGGTCGGCGGCTAACGAGAGGTCAGCCGGGCGGCGAATGGGCTCCCGGCCGCTCTGATCACGCGTGGCCAAGTTGGCCGATGTGTGATGAACTCGAGTGGGCCGGGCCTTCCCACCGGCTCCCGGGTCCGGCTGCAGGCTCCCTGGGCTCATGACAGTAGCGGCGCCAGGTATCGCGTTAAAGGAAGGACTGCACCGGCAGGGCGAGTGTGGCAGCACCGAGGACGGCAACAGCAGCAGCTGTATATTTTCGGTAAAGGTAAGACATGGGATTATCATGAACCTAATCGTGTTATCATGTGCCATCTCTTTGCTATGGTAAGTTACCAAAGATATCGTGTATATAAATAGCATTGTAAAGATGGCCACCCAGACCAGCAAACGGTCGCGAAACCTCGTGTAGGAAAATAGTTTTCTCTCACTTACGCGCCATTGCACGCACAGACTTACCTGAGCCCAAACGCTATTTTTGCTCGGAAAAGCTTATTGTTCGAGGCTAGTGGATGCGCGCTCGCCATTTCTGTCAAAATGCCGATCAGGCTTGTGCGCCTGTGAAGATCGGAGCATCAGGAATCATGGTGCACCATTGGCGATATCTGGTTGTTTTTACTGAAAGCAGGTCTCTCAAGAAGAGAGCTCTCCAGAAAGTGATCTAGAAAATAACCAGGTCGCGGTATGCATGACGTAAGGCGCAACATCTGGGTTCGTCTGATAACTTTTGCTGATAAAATCCCTCGTCCCAGTTATCCAGAGGGATGCATAACCTATCCGGCGCCTTGAGATATAATAACGCTAAGCCAGGTTCGCAGGAGGAAGTTTCAGGTCTTGGAACTTTGTTTAAGCCCTACGTTGTTTGTTTGGCTTCCTCTGATAACCTTTCCATGATTTTTGCGCAGATCCGTGAAAATCTTATCGTGACTTCTGTACATGCTATCTCACATGCCGCTACGCATTTCGAAATGCCTAGTGCACCAATGGTCACAACGCCCACCAGAAAACGATAAAGCATGGACATCAGAGCGCTTGCCAGTAGCCTGTGAAGTAGGGCATGTCTCTTCACGACTCATGCCGAGCACATGTGCTTCTTTTGCACGAGACCACCGTTTTGATGTCAGCCGCCCGAGGCGAAACGTGTTTCGCTCCATGCCACTCATGGCACATGACGTGATAACCGTTTTGATGTCTAGGGTAGCCCCCAACGTGTTCCACGAACTGCCCGAGATATTTATTCCAGCAATGGGCGCCGCTATTCTGGTCACGGTTCGTTATGCCAGGGTCGTTGCATGTAAAGCGCATGCCGCCGTGACGATGCCGGCGCAGTCGATGTCTATTGCTCAAAGGAACAAGCGGACGGTCTCCTCGCGGCGTGGAGACGGCGAAGCGCGCGCTCGGACGGAGCGAAGCGGGACACGCCGCCTCGAGACAGCGCTTGCCCGAGCACCAGGCGTCTAAACTCTCCATAGAAAACCGGCAGGACTCTTCGTCACTGTCCAGGCGGAGGAAGCAAGATGAGAGTGGGGCCCGCCTCCCATGCCCGACAAAGCCTCACACGACCGTCACGGGAATCTTCTTCTGGTGCTCGGGACTTTGGAAAGTGAAGTGCTCGAGCCTGGACAGCGAGCCGTAGTCCGGATCCACCTGCGTGAACATCCGGCTCGCCTTCACCTCATCGCCGAACACGCGGCTGCCCTTGACGTCGTCGGCGTCGCTCAGCATGTCCTCCCACTGGTTCGAGTAGCTCCGCACGTCCCGGATGCACGTGAGCTGGCGATCGCGCCGCCGCCGCCTGCGCAGCAGCAGCAGGGCGACAAATATGGCGCAGAAGACGAGCACGAACGCGGCGACGGCGACGAGCAGTGGTGCGAGCCACGTGCCGCAGCCGAGGTCGGCTTCGCTGAGCTCAGTCAGAAGGCGGCCCGAGTCCACACAGCGGATCGGGGAGAGCACTGAGGTGTTTGGCAGGTGGGCGGGAAGGTCCCACAGCCACTGCGCCGAACAGTTGCACACTAGGGGATTGCCCGCTCACGTTGAAGGCCTCGACGCGCTGGAGCAGCGACGTCATGTTCTCCAGCGTGCCCAGGCTGTTGCCGCCGAGATTAAGCACTTTGAGGTTAGGCAGCGTGTTTACCACCGCCGGGGGAAACCACGTCAGCTGCGGGTTCTCGCACAGGTGGACCTCCTCCAGGAGGAGGTTGTTGCTGAAGATATGTCCCGTCACTGAGGACAGCTCCTGGCTGTGACAGACTCGGAGAACGCGCAGCCGATGCAGACTGTCCATATGATGCACGTGTAGCGAGGAGAAGCGATTTCCCCCGGCGTGCAGCACCTCCAGACCTGGGAGAGCCAGGGACGTGGCTGGGAACTTGTCCAGCTCGTTGAAGCCGATATCCAGACGACGCAGCTCGAGGAGATCCGCGAACGCCTCGGGGTGTATCCGGTAAATACGGTTATGGGCAAGCGTCAAGTTGCGCAACGATTGGAGCATAAAGAAAGCATGGAAAGGCACTTCTTGGAGACTGTTGTGACCAATGCGCAGAACGCGGAGGGTCCCCAGATGACGGAAGGCATCTGACGGCACGTGGCTGATGTCATTCTCCCCAAGCTCCAGAGTAAGCAGCTCGTAAACGTTTTCAAAAGCGTCGCGGGATATCATTCGTATCCTGTTCCTCGCTAGGTTGAGGTGCTTCAGACGTTCCATCCACTTGAAGACGCCTGCCTCCAGCGTGGTAAGCATGTTGTCGCTGAGGTCCAGCTCTGTGAGCCTGTCAAGTCCTTCGAACGTGGAGCGCATCAGGCCAGTGACGCGATTTTTCCTCAGGTTCAGTCGCTGCAGGTCGCCCTGTCGCACAAACTGCTGCTCCAGCAGCGAGTCGAGGCTGTTGTTGGACAGGTCCAGCTCAAGCAGGTGCGCGTAGAAGCCGAGCGTGTCCTCGATGCTACCGATGTTGTTGCCCTGAAGTCGAAGGATGTGAATGCGCGGATTGAGGATGATGGGCACGGTGTCGAGGCGCGCGTGGCTGCAGTCGGAGATCTTGCGGTCGCAGCGGCACTGGCCCGGGCAACGGGCTGACCCGAGGTCGAGCAGGCTCGCCAGGCCGACCAGGGTCACCAGGGTCACGGAGGTCACGGCCGGCGGCGGCCGCGGTGTCATGACCTCACCGCCGCGCCGTCAGACCTGCAACGGAGCAGGGGGTCATTGGGAGGTCACCCATCAGGTCGCATCAGCATAGCACCTCATCAGAGACCACACACGACCACACACCAGAGACCACAATCCCCCCCCCCCCCCCCCTACATCACAGACAAGGTTTTAAACCAAGTCATCACTACCAACGACACCGATCATGGTATTAGCTGCTCATCAGCTCGGCGACCCAACGGCGCGGAGGCGCGCAAAGCATGGGAGACGGTTTTCCAAGGGACGCTGGGATCTTGTGGTGAACCAGATGAACGCATCGGCGCCCCGAATCCGATTCGTGTGACGACTTCACTCTTGCTGCTTTCTTGTTTTTTGCCATTGGACCAAAGCGAAGTAAATAAGCATTCGAGCGGCAGCGTGAACACGGTTATGCAAGCCATACTCGGCTAATTAGCCGAGTGCGGCTCAAGTGCACGTTTCATGTCATCACGTTCCTTCAAAGCAAATGAATGTTGTATTATAAGAATGAGTTTCGGTACGGTAGCCACAGGAGTACGTGGTTTAAAATGTCGCATTAAAAATGGGCGTGTCTTGAGTGTCGACGTGTGATGTCTAACGCAAGCGTGTGTTTATCTCGGCTGGTGTATTACGTCTTTTAAAGCACTTAATTGTTTGTTTTCGTGCCGTGCTAATTTTTCACAATTTTACCGTCTTGACCCTGCTCCACAGCTTAATATTTGGCATCGATGATATTAATGAGCACCAGGACAGAAAAGGCACCGTTAGTTCAGCTCCATGTAAGAAACGTCTTTCCTCTCTGTTGCCATTCGTACGTTTGGGAAACCAAAGGTATGGGGTTCGCTTCGCGTCGGAACTCGCCTTTCCTGCTAGAGTATGGGGCTCGATTCCCCACGGAGCTCGCCCTTCCTGCTAGGATATGGGGCTCGATTCCCCACGGAGCTCCCCTTCATGCTAGGGTATGGGGCTCGATTTCCCACAGAGCTCGCCCTTCCTGCTAGGGTATGGGGTTCGATTCCCCACAGAGCTCTCCCTTCCTGCCAAGGTGACAGGCAGGCAACGCTATATAGCCTCAGCAGCTGAGCACGTCGCAAAACCCCAATAACGACTACTCTCTCCTGTGCCTATTCGCTAATCCGCAACCTCGTCACACTCGAAACTGGTGAACCCGTCTTAAATGAAACATTATAATAGAAAGCAAGCTAGGTCGCAAGGTGGTGCCAGCAACTTAGATCAAGACAAGTCTGGATCAGCTGATCTTTGTTTGCCCATGCCGGAGATGTCCGGACGCGGCTGTGGCCAAAATGTAGACAAAACCTCAACTGTCAGAATTAACTCGCGTAGCTGCCACAAGTTCGGATTCATTTCTTACGAAGATCGCATTTATGCTCATTCTATATACATGAATTCTACAAATGTCGCTTGTTTCAAATTAACACTGCTCTATGTAGGTGACATTTCCAAAATAGTTGTCAAAGAAAGGCCAGCTGCCTTAGGCGTAAACAAAACGTCAGTTGACAAGGTCAAGTGACATAGGCGCAGCATTTCAAGATCCGTTTCTTACAGAAATCGTCATACTTTTTATGCGTCTACAAAATGGATCAGTTAAAGTTTTTCAACTTAGTATGAATTTACCTTGAGTAGGTTTTCCAAAAATGACCACTAAAAAGTGCCAGGTGACCAACGTCATACCATAGGGTCCGTCCTATGATTGCATCTCAGCGTCACCTAGCTCGTGACTTACCCTGCCAGCTCGCTATATAGGTGAAACACCAGTTCATCATACAGTTCCGATATCAGGTCACTACAGTCCACCTTCAGAACAATTCGGTACGCTGCGCATTAAGAATGCTGCTGCACCCGACCTCCCCGCTGCCTTGTGATGTAGCAGAGTTGCCCATTCATGGTGCGAGAGGCAGCCAGTGATCGGTATGCCGCCCGCCAGCCTCGCAGATGATGGTGCTCAAGCCTGGATTAGGTCCGGCTATTTCGGTCCATCGAACCTGCAAGGTGCTTGGAAGAGCGATGCGGTAGGCTGAGACTCGGACCCACCATTTGTCTGGGTAATAATGCCGCATACCTCAACGTCCGCTCTGTTTTTCCAGCTGTGGCGAGAAATCGGGGGGCTTGGCTTTGTCGGACATCAGTGACGTCACCGTACGCCCACCGCTACCGCAGTCCCGCCCACTTTGTTGCCGTTTTAGTTGGTCAGGACACAACAATAATCAACGTTTATGTGAGTTGTTCAGTGCATTAGCGAGGAACATTGTTCACATACATGAGACAGTGGCATTAGCCTTATTCCTCGAAAAAACCAGGAGAATGGAGATGTAGTTAGGTTGGTATTTCAGCAACATGCTTTTATCGAGACAATAGCAGAAGTTCTCCCTATATCTTCATTCTCCTGGTTTTCCGAGGAATAAGGCCAATACTTCTGTCTTCTAATCAGCATTTCTTTGACTGGGAGACGCCCAGTGATGGTTGTAACGCCACTGTTTGGTGCTGTTTTGGTGTTGTGGATTTAGTACTGTTTTCATGTTCCACTCATACCAGTACAGTTTTGTGTCCTAGGCCAGGCCTTGCACTGACCACGACCAGTGATCAGCATAATTGCAATGTGCATCAAAAGAGGATGAGGGATTCCTGATGGCAAATGTTTACACTCATATTGCAGTGCAAGCATTTGAGGGCTATGGCGGTGCTTATCTAAAACAGCTGGTGTTGTGCAGGCATTCAGGTGTTGTGTTAGCCGAAACTTGTAAGCTATCGGCAGCTTTCCTCAATTTCATAAATGAGACCCACATGAGTCTCATTTATCTCATCTAAATGAGACTCACATGAGTCTCATTTATGTCATCATTGACATGATCCTTTATATCATCATGTCGGCACATGAGACTCGCCGTCTTGATCATCTTCCGGACCGGCACTACCAAATCCTAGGCACCGCATTCACCATACCTGATCATCACTAACCAGCCGACGACGCCCTCAAACAGCTGACTGCGTCGTCCAAGCAGCTGACGCCGCCTCCCGTGGCAATTTCCTGCCGGCTCGACGGAGGGCCAACAGGTGTCCGTCGTTACGGCCAGCTGTGACGTCATCAGCGCCAGACGACGGGGCGTGACGTCACGGCCGTCTGACGGCTCCGTTTGTAACGGTCGCGCCGCCGCCGGCGAGCGAGCGTTATCGGCTGGAAGCGCCAGATCACGGGCGCCGGGCCAGCGTGGACGACACGCCCCACAGACCGGCGCCGATTCCAGCGCCAAAAACAACGCCCAGCTCGCGATCCGTGTTTTCCGCTGCGTCGTGCGTGGGTCGCGGACACGAAGAAGGGATCTTTGTCTGGACGACATTTCGGATCGCGGCTACGTTGTCTAGATGAGATTTCGGATCGCGGCCTCGTTGTCTGGACGACATTTCGGATCGCGGCTACGTTGCCGGGCGCAGCCGTCGTCAGCTGATCATTCCGAATCAGCGCCATGGCGGCTGCCAGGCTTCTCGCAGGGCGGGCGCAACAGGCTGGCAAACATTCCGTTTCCAGACATTTTCACCCCTCCCTGCCCAGCGCATGGCTGGCCCCGACTCAGTTACGTGACCTGGCAGGTTAAGTCCACACCGCCGTAAATGTGTCACCGTGCGAACTTGGCGCGCCGACGGCCTGAGGCGTTTGATAGCCGCCATAACGGATGACGCTCGTCACCCGCCAACTGTTCTGAGCACCTCCACTTTGGACGGAGCCGCTGACCGAGCGGATATGACGCCATGAACAGAGGCGCGCGCAGGCCCCGCTGAGGAGAGCAACTGCGGCCGCTGGTGGCCCACTAAATCGCTTGAAAACGCGCGTAGTATCTCCGGTGATTTCGGTGGATGGAAGCTGACGCTGGGAACGTTCTCCCAACATGTCCCCCAGAGATATTCGCTGGGTGCGCCTATGGCGACGGTCACTCGGTAGTGATGATCGCCGTATTTCAGACCTGTCGGCCCGACATAGACTCATTTCGCAGGCGATACAGCCCGGCCAGTGGCGGCTCAAGAGCGGCGATACGGAGGCATCAGCTTCTTCCTTCCGTGCTCTGCCATTGTTTCCTTATGGTTGTGGGTAGTCGTGAGTTTGCGTACCTCATGTTACACTGAAATAGCCTGGTCATCGTCATTTATCAGGAGGCATGAAACAGGTCTGTCCGCGCTAAAACGCGTTCTGTTAATCCAATGACCTGTCGTGTGCGGTGGGCTCCACTCCGCATGGTTGGGATGAGGGATGACGTTCTAGTATACCAGCACGCTGCGGGATCGCGCCGCTCCCCGGGCTCACAACACCTGCCTTCACCCAGACCTCCACAACTGCCCCGTCCACATACGCGCCCCACCACTCCCCCGCCCCACCGCCCCCTTCCTCCCAGCCCTCGCACCCCCACTTCGACCCCTGATCCTCACCCCAACCCACGCCAGTCCCACCCGGCGCGCCAAACAAATGGCTGGGATCCGGCTGAGTGACCGCGCTCATAAACGCCCCGGTCCACGCAGACCTGAGGCACGGCTGTGGCCAGGGACATGGTCAGGGGCGCGCCGAGTGGGCAGGATGCGGGAGGCATGACCGACCACCCATCCGTCCGGTCCTCCGATGCGGCAGCTGGCCGTGATGCTGGTGCTGCTCGGTGCCGATGGCACGCATCCGGCTGACCGCTGACGACGCCTACGACAGCCGCTCTTTAGCCTCGTCATTAAGGCTGCCCGCCAGGGGGTGCACTGACCGCAGGGCATGCCAGCGTGATCAAACCCACGCAATTGTGCGTGATTGCCGCGGCGTGCGGCGTAGCACCGGCTGAGGTCACATCGCGCGTCGTTTGTACCCAAATCTGTGTGCACTCCGGCCTAATAGCGGGAACGTTTGCGACAGGTCTCATGCGTTGTGTGGATTTAAAGTGTTTCTATGTTGTGTGCTTCTAAAAGTAGTAGCTGTTGAAATAGGCAAACATACTGGGTGTTTTGTTCTTGTGTTATGCTTGGCAGT